ACTATGGTACATCCAGACAATGGAATACTATCCAGCTATAAAAAAAATGAGCTATCAAATCATAAGAAGACATGGAATAAACTTAAACGCATATTAACAAATGAAAGAAGCCAATCTGAAAAGACTACATATTGCATGATTCCCACTATATAACATTCTGAAAAAGGAAAAGCTATGGAGATAGTATAAAGGTCAGTGATTGCCAGAGGTTGAGTGGGGAGTGCTGTGGGAAGGTTGAGTGAGCACAGAGAATGTTTAGGGCAATGAAAATACTCTTATGATACCATAATGATGGATTCATGTCATTATATATTTGTCCAAAGCAATAGAATGTACAACACCAAGAGTACCAATGAACTTTGGGTAATTATGATATGTCAATGTAGGTTCATCAGATGTAACAAATGTACCACTCTGGTAGTAGATGTAAATGGGGGAGGCTGTGTGTGTGAGTGGGGAGGGAGTAAATGGAAAAACCTCTGCATCCACCCCTCAATTTCACTATAAACCTAAAATTGGCCCCCCAAAAAATAAAGTCTTAAAAAAATACAGTGCAGTTTTTATAAACATATATCTTCACTTAATCATTATACATATATATTATATATTTTCAATCAGTGTAATCACAGTTTAGCATAAACTTTTCCATGTTTTACACTGTTTCTATAATTATTATTTTTATGCCTTCATAATAATTCATCCAGGATATTTATTCTTTCATACTTCAATTATTTATTGAACATTTACTATGTGCTATTCAAGATCATTGGAATGTACTCCTAAGCCAAGGTACCTTCACTTACAGAATTTATAACATTTTCATGTGCATAGTTGATATATAATCATTCGACTTTTTATCATACTGTATAACTCTTTGAGACAAGAACATTATACATATCCTGTTATTCAGCCTTGAAGAACCTTTGCAGAAAAGAAGTAATGTCATGGACCTAAACATATTTTGGTTATTTACATGCTGTTGTTGTTGTTCTGTAAGTCGACTTCCCAAAAGAAAATGAGAAAAATAAAGGTATAAAAGTATATATACATAACCTAGTGAGTTGAACCAAGAAACTACTTATCTGATTCATCAGGGTGAAGATCTAGAGCGCAATCAAACTGGACCTGTGTTTTCCATAATAAATTAGGACCCTCTATATTACTTCCTGACATGCAATATAAAGATCAGACTTTCATATAGGATATTTTATTACTATATGACATTTCTTACCCTACCTGAAAAATAGCCTCTTAACCCCAAACTGATGCTAATGCCCAAGCTTCTAAAATTTGTTTTTGGAAGTTATATGAAGCCATAAAATATCTTTATATTAAGGAATACTATTGGTTTATGAAAATAGTTTCTAATTATACATTTAAATGAGAAATGATCTCATTAGCATCCCAGTTTTCTCCTTTTCTTTCTTTGTTTTGCAACATATAAATATGCTGGGAACCTCTGTGCAGAGAGATAGCAGTTCAGTCTGCTTGTCTACTTGGTGCCATTGGTGTCAAGTTTGCATAAAACGGTGCCTCTGGCAGTTTTTGGGTCCACGAGGCACAAGGCTTATTTCTTCCATATTAGGTTATTACAGGTTTCACTTGTTTCCATTTTATTTACTCATAAATAGTGCTACATTAATTTTTATCCTGTCTTTTTCTAATTTTATAATACATCTCAGAAGTATGAAAAGTTTCAAAAGTATGAACACTCGTGATCCTCAAGACATATGCTAAATGTTCTCCAATATATTTCCAGCAGTCTAGATGAAGCTAGTTTGATTTTATGTTGCTATACTCTAACTTATAATTAACTTTATGTCTATATGGCTTTTCTCACTATAAGATCTTTAAAGTGGAAGTAGCAAGGCTTTAACAGGGGCAATGAGCAGTCATGACTATTCACTTTCACCTCAACTGCACGTTTTGTCCACTTTGCTAAATTCTACCTGCTTTATATAACTATTTGAATCTGTGATCACAAAAAACATTTTCTTCTGAGTTTCAGCTCATTTAACATTTCTATATTGGGGGGATTCCTTTTAAATTACATATAGTCAACATTAATTACTCTCTGTTCCCCTTATATTCATTCATTCAATGGTTTATTCAAGATCAAATGTCAAACATGTTGCAGAAACTCTGCCAGGTTCTAGGGTTTCAGTGTCACAAAAACAGCCATCTATCTGAATCTGAGTGTTTTTGAGAGCTTTCTATGCAACCACCTTTCCTACTTTCTCTTCCTCAGTATCAGTACTGGCAGGAATGACAATCAGAATTCTATTTTAGGAAGGTTCCCAAAACTCCTTAGTCTTTACTTTTCTTTAAGAGTGTCATACAATTCCACCTCTCTGTAAAAAATATTTTCTACAAAAATGATCTTTCTTTGTTTAGGTTAAGGACCTAACTATAGCAGGCCTTTGCTTTCTTACCTGACATAAGTTGTAGATAAAATGTCTGCCTTTTCCCCCAGGTTGTCAGGTAATCCCTTTTCCCCATTTCTCCAACTTGAGATCCCTCAATGCTCGCATTATGCAGTTTGGCTAGGTAGTGTTTTAGTATGTTCTTCTATATCATGGAAGGAGATTGGCAGGTGGGCTTCCAGTTCTCCTGAGATGGGAGGAGGAGGGATATAAGGTTTTGAGGATAATTCCAAGTTTCTGGCTCTGGGATTCTCTGCATTTTCTCTCTTTTTTTAATCTAAGTGATTCAGAACTATGAGGGTTAGAACTAATATTTATCTTGAGAATGCTGTGGAAGAACTTGGACTAAAATAAAACTTCTAGGTAAGCCCCAATGAGGCATTCATCATCTATTGATTTAACAAATATCTTTTGAGTTCTACCAAGCTCCTGCATTGCAATAGGCACTGCATCTGTCTCACTGGCTAATGGAAGCATAGTTAAGCTGTCCTTTCACTACCAAGAATCTCTCAGTTATCAAATCTAAACACAAACTTATTTCTACCACTTAATAAGTCGTTATATTTGTTTTACTATAATGTATACTTTGTCCTGACTTTTAAGTGCCTTGGGAAATGTAGAAATTTGCCTAAATGATGTTACTCAAAATTGTTTAAAAAGTATGTACTATTTACTAATAAATCATTTAATATAGTATTTGGTTCATTAAAAACATTTAATAAGTATTGACCCTTATTATTTTAATATTATCAAACTGTTATGTATCGATCAGTTGGCAGCAGTGGAAGTTAAATGTAAAAAATATTAAAACTATTTAAACACTCATTTTCACCCCCCAAAATGATGGAACTATTTTTTAATGTATTTCCTCACATTTTAATATTTAGTGATATAAACCACACTTGAAGGTTTCTATAACCTCCCTTTAGTGAGTGAGAAGGGCCTCCAAATTAAGTTACCATTATAATTTACCTATTCTGTTCTCAAAGTTGAAAAAAAAAGATTTCATTCTGTCATCTCTGAAAGATATTTGAAAACCCTTATATCTGGAAAGGGTTTTTTCTAATTTCTAGCATTATTTCCAGCTAATACTGAGAACTGGTCTTTTCTGAAAATTAAATTCACTGATTCTTCACAATTCTTACAATACATGTTTACATATTTGAAAACATTCCAAGTTCTCCATGTTCCTTTTAAGTCATAAAAAAGATTAAACATCCCATTTATTAGACTGGGGACAAGGTTGTATTGCTTTGCCAGTGACAACTCTTAAAGAATTTTAAAACTGATGGCATTTGTTGCATTACTGACTTGTTTAGGGAAAGACAAAGAGTCCACTTGGACTGTAATACAAAATGCACATTTTTTTCCCCAGAAAGGATAGAAACCAAGAAGTAAATGAGAAAAAATATCATGTTATCTAGCTAAAAAGGATAAGCATAATTGTACAATAATCAAGTTATTTTTAACATTTTAGAATATTTAGGAAAAAAGCGAAAGGATGATTTTTGACTTGACATTAAAAATAATTAAGCTGGAGCTGAAAGGGAAACTATATATCTAATTGGAAACAATATAAAGTATAATCACTTATCATAAATGTTATGTATGAGCCTGATATGGCCAATATTCATTTTCAGTTGGACAACAACATTAAATGATACTATGATAAGAATGAGTAAAGATTACGAGCTGCTGGACAGCAGAGACCCCTTTTACTCATCACTATATCCTAGTTTCTGACATGAAGTGGATGCTCAATAAACATTTCCTGAGAAACCAGCAGAAAGGATATAGACAGACCTTGAGCTTCAAACTGATGGACCCAAGCTGGTACTTCTGTACTGGGAAAATATCTGCCCCTATTCCCATTACACTTGAATCCATCCACGATTCCTTTTGTTTTCCATCCCCTTTATCCAGTTATCTTCTTCCTTATCCCATTGCACATTACCAAAATAGCCCCAAATATTTCTAATAATTTTGTCTCACAGATCACAATATGTACTGCTTCCTTGCCATAGATTTCACTTGGCCCCCGTTCTTCTCCCACCATGATAAAAACTCTTCTTTCCTTGTGTGTATTTATTTTCCTACCTCTGTTTTATTTTTACTGTATCTGAAGTATATAAATCATCAATGCTAACAAACTGCAAGTATAGAGTGAGGTGCACTTTTAGTGCAATATTTTCATGTATATAGTTTTATGTATAGTTCACATATATCATAAACATTATATATATGTGTGTATATATTAGAGAGAGAGAGAGGAATTACATGGGTATGTACATTTTTATTTTATTATATATTCGCATATAATTAAAATAATCAAAATGATTTCCTGAAAAATCATCTTCCAAAATTTAGTATAGGATTTTATGTATATGTAAATTATCATTTTATAACAATTTTATGTCCAAGACAAAAATACAATGAACACTTTAGAAGAGTGCATTCTCATGGATTTAATAAAACTGTAACACAAATCTTCCTTGTTGACTAAGTTACTATATATATTTATATATATGTAATATATGTGTGTATGTATATAATTTCTCTTTTTTTAATACTTTAAAGGGTCACATGATAGCATCCTGTGATGCTTGTGGAGTAACAAAACTATGGGACTTTCGGAAGCTCTTGCCAATTGTGTCCATTGATATAGGTCCAAGTCCTGGCAATGAGGTGAACTTTGATTCATCAGGTAGGATCTTTTTTGTTTAACATTTGTGACCAAGCTTACAACTTTAACATTTGTTCTGAAACTCTTTTCTGTTTCCACTTTAATTTTACTGTGTTTCCTCCTATGTAAATTTTTGTTCTAATACTATATTCGAATATATTATATTTTACATTATATTTCTTATTATGTCACATTATGAAAACATTATATTTATCATATATATAAAGGAAGAGATAATAGAGGAGATAAGTGTGTAATGATATAGGTAACACAAATTCCTAGCAGTGTCATGAAAAATCTGGAGTCTATATCCTTTAGAATCACCATCCAAGGTAAGTAAATTGGGTTTTTTGAAGGCAAAATGGCTAAGAGTAGAGAACAAAAGTTTGGTAAAACTTAAAATACATTTTTAATGGAATATTTTAGTCTTATAATTAATAGATTATTGTATATCTCTTAATTTTATAATTTGAGATGTACATTCATCTTATTGTTGCATTCATGTGCAACAATAATTATAACTGATAATTTTAATATTATTTCATTATGTTTAGCATTTTTTCTGCAGTAATATAAACACTGTCAAACAGATAAAATATTTTACACTTGCTGTTAATGAATAGTGTAGCAACAACATACAGTGTTTCCAGTTATCTATTTAAAAGATTAAAATTATAGTTACATCTGTATCTTTAATGAGAGTTTATGCTAGATAATGTGTATCTATTATTAGATAATATAACTTTCCTTTGCTACCATCATACATGTTTTAAACCTTGTTAAATTTTGTGAGTTTTTTAAATCTTTGATACTTATTTGTAGTAGATCAAAGTTATAGAGATGGTAATTTTAGATGAAGAAATAAAGATAAAATACATATAAGGGAAATAATAATGTTTTATTTAAAAATTATACATACTAATTCAATAGTCCAGAAGTATATATATACTAGGAGCAATTCTAGAGATATAAGATAATTGTGTGTTTTTTTTAGGACTGGTTTCATAGGACTGGTTTCATGTCATCACATATCTAAAATTTAGAATTCAGTTAAGTTTGTCTTTTTAACAAACTTTAAGTTGTGTTCCCATTACAGATTGGTATATGAACCATACTAATAATACTGGCTTCTTTAAAAATGTTTTTAGTAATGTTCTTGACATTAAACCATCTGCAGTCTGCCAGAATTAAAAAAAAGAAAACATTGTATAGAATAAAACATCCCAACTATGAGAATTTCATTTTATAATGTGAAGGCCTATTAAGATTTCAATGTAGGGGCACCTGAGTGGCTCAGTCAGTTAAGCATCTGCCTTCGGTTCAGGTCATGATCCCAGAGTTCTGGGATCACCCAGCCCAGCATCGCACTGGGCTCCCTGCTCAGCGGGGAGCCTGCTTTTCCAGCTCCCTCTCCAGGTCCCCCTGCTTGTGCTTTCTGGCTCTCTCTCTCTTTTTCTCAGTCAAATAAATAAATAAAATCTTAAAAAAAAATTTCCATTTATATTTACCAATGTACTGAATCTGCATTGACATCATAGTTCTAAAGGAACTTAGTTTTATTACATATGTTTAACAAATAAAAATTTACTGGTCAAAAAAACCCCCAACTTTGCTGGTCATGTACTTTGATATGAAATATCTATCTTTGTATCTGTACACAGATATGTCAATATATAGACATGTATGTATATACATATATATATATGTATGTATATAATACTATTATTTTCAATGACAACCAGCTTCTACTTTAAGACATCTCCCCCCCCCCGCCCCCGCCATGGGTTCACCAATTAAAGTTAGTTAAGTTAAAAAAAAACAAAACAAACAAAACACCTATGGGGTGCCTGGGCAGCTCAGTTGGTTGAGTGTTCTACTCTTGGTTTTGGTTCAGGTCATGATTTCAGGATCCTGAGGTGGAGCCCCTTGTGGGGCTTTGCACTCAGTGGGGAGTCTGTTTGAGATTCTCTCCCTCTCCCTTTACCCCTCTCCCCCACTCACAGGTAAACATGCACTCTCTCTCTCTCTCAAATAAATAAATATTTAAAAAAATATTTAGTTTTAATGAACGTTTTTACATCCTTAAGTCCCTTTTTATTATCGTGAGCTACAAGTCAAGCGTTCATGTCCTTGAATTTTGAATTACAAAATTCAAAAATTTTGGCTATATTTCTAGTAATATAAGTTAAAGAGTACTTTGAAATGCTGTACAACCAATAAGAGATATGTATTTTACTGTCATTAACTGTGTTGCTACTTGCTTTCTACTGTCCTTGTCATCAGCCCAAATCTCTTTTCTATGCAGAGTCAGGCAAACCTAATTTAAAATTACCTTCATACAAATCAATATCATCTTAAAGTCCTTGGTACAGCAAACCTAGTTTTTCTCTCTGTGACTGCTATACTCTTGATTATACATTAATATTAAGAAAAGCATAAGAATCAAGGGCAGAACAATGAGAAACATAAAAGACAGAAAGTGTAAACTAGGGACCCTGTTAATGAAAACACTTTATCAGTTTGAGGGAATATAATTTCAACCTGACCTTCCCATCCCTTTGACCCTTTCTTCAAGGAACATACTACAATTAATTTTAATTCTGATGTGTTTGAGAAATTAATGTCATAAGCCTTTTTCTCATTGAATAGTGGGAAATTTGTGCTTCTGTAGAGGAGAAGTCTTCAGTGACTTTTCATTTAAAAAGGTTGAAATATATCAAAAGTTGATATAAATATATCAAAAGGAACTAGGGAGAACAAACAAAGCTCTCAGTCTGAGGGTCTGAACAGAAAGGTGAAAATCATAAAGTAAAATGCCAGAAGTTATGTTGGTAAAAAGAGAGTAGAGAATAGTGAAGTCAAGAGCAAAACGAAATCAAAATAAGGATAAGGACACATAGTGTCTCATATGAATTTATTCAAGAAAAGATTAAACAAAAAGTATAAAAGCATATCATAAAAATATTTGGACTATGAGGATAAAATCAAATCTAACTTAATAAGCTCAAAATACACATTAATTTGACATACTTTTATCTATTCCCAGCAGCTAGCAAATAAAAACATATATAATACAATTATTTTCCACAAAAAAACAAGAGTATATTGACACTATTGACAGCAATTAACATTTATCGAGGCTCACGTTAGGTAGGTTGTGCCAAATCATGTTTTTAAGTTGAAATTCTGTAACAGAATTAAATCATGCAATTATAGACAGTTAGGACTCAACTAGTGTGAGATAGGCTCTGGTCTGCTATCTCAGCTATGTCCTTGGACCTAAGGAAAAGATATTGAAAACATACATGTAACGTCATCATAATATCATATAATAAATGTAGAAGTATTGATAGTGTTCTGTTCTGTCTGTGATATTTAATACAAGGAATGTGAGTAGTTATTAGATATTCTAAATAATCATCATAGAAACAAAAATGTCTAATCTTATTTCTTGTCTCTGGATCAGTTTAATTGAAAGGCATCTTGAGATCGTGAGGTGTGCTGTTTAAAAAGAACTGTTTCCATATACAATGACTTATCTTTATAAATAAGGAATTTCTTGTCATTGCAAATCCAACACCATATAGAAATAAATTGGAGTAGAGGTCACTGAAAGGCTGAAACTGTTGTCCATAACATTTGATTTCAAATTTTTATGTATATCAAAATTTCCTCATTATTTATTAACCTCATAAGTAAATATTTTCATTTTGAATTTATAAAAGTAAATATGTACCATGAAATAGCCTTTATCTATTTTAAAATTGAGATTCCTCATAGTGTATCATTTTAAAAACATATCTTTGATAAAAATATTTGAAAACCAGTCATGTAGGAAAAGAATATAGATTATAATTCAGACCCTTAGTTCTTCACCACCTTTTAGGCGTTAAGCAAATTATTTAATTTCCTTGAACGTAGTGTCCGAAATAATGGAGGAAATAATTGTCTTACAGTGTTCTAATGTGTTTCAAAGGGATAATGTATATCCTATAATGAGGAAATCCTAGTCTAGTCACCTATCATGTTTTATCTTAGCTGGAAGAGGTTTAGAAGTCGTCCCATTTTAGGGGTAAGAAAAATGTGTGAACACATTGGTGTGCAAATAAGATGCCTAAGGCTGTGTGCTACTGTAGGTAGTTTGTAGTGAAAGTGTAAACCCAGTGAATGCTAAAAGAAACAAGGGTCAAAAACCCCTTTTCATGTAATATTAAAAATAATTTAAATGGTTAAGAAGTGAAGTTATATGAAATATTGTATATACATATAATTAAAACCAAAAGATTTAAAGATGTATGAATCATCATTTAGAATTTAGCTTTTCTGCTGTTGTAAGAAATCAGCTTCTCACACATTTAAAAGAGGAGTTGTATGTGGCACAGTATTATTTACATAATGTTTTATTTGCAAATATATTTCTTGTGACATACACAGATTATCTGTGTTTATAGATACATACATATATTGGTATTTGTAAAGGAATAAGTGTTCCTTTCTCATTAAACTGAGAGCATCCTGGTAATATAATGCTACATATTTTTGTGAATATTCACTATCTAAATTGTATCTCTCATTTGGCATATTCAAATGCCATTTGTTTTACCATTCAAAAATGTATTACTATTTCAGAAAATGTTAAATGGGATTGCGTAGTGAAAGTAATAAAAATGAAACGTAAGAGTTTATACATAAACTTGTCCACATCTCTCATTTCATCATGTTTTTATGTAGTTTAGCAATACTTTTCCCTCCTTTGTAAAAGATAATTCCAGTACATTTGCAAAAAAGTCACATCCCTAGAAAATGCAGGAGCTGAAGTTTAAGCCAGCTGGGGACTTTCCAATAGGAAGCTTATCAGTATCACATCATCAAAATGGGCAAGGTTTCTCACCATTTGGAGACAATCCTAAATACTCTCCATAAGCAGAACCACAATATAAATGCTAAAATAGAAAAAAATGACCCTACTGGAAAATATGAAAAGCATCAGATCTGTCTGAAATTTTTCAAACATAATAAAA